GACTCTCCCTAGGAGTTCCTCTCCAAGTTACTGCCCTCTTCACGGCACTTGCCACCATGTTTCTTGCTTTATTTCCTTGTCTCTCGCTCCTTGCCTTGCCTGTCTAGTTCACTGCTGTATTCCTCAGATCTTGACATTTGAGGAGGAAAGGGAACACTTCGATCGTATTTTTTATTTTGGTACCAGCGAGTGAAGCCAGGGGTGCTTAACCACTGAGCCACATTCCCAACCCTTTTTGTATTTTATTTTGAGACAGAGTGTCTTTAAGTTGCTTAGGTCCTTGCTGAGTTTCTGAGTCTGGTATGGAACTTGGGATCCTACTGCCTTAGCCTCCTGAACCACCAGGATTATGGAACAGTCCACCACAACTGGCTACAATGGTATTTGTGAATGAGTGACTGAAAATACTGACCATGCTCCTTGGAGCTTACAAGCTAGTGAGAAGCAGGTATTAATTGATCATCATTTGCAAGTACCTTCTGTACTCAACTTCTAGAGAAAGTATGTAACAGGGCTTTGAAAACCTCCAAGCCTCCTCCTCATTTACAGTCTTGGTCTTGTCTCCTTCCATGACTGTCTTCATTGAATAAGACAGTCATTGCCTAGGGTTTATTGAAGAGAAGCTTGTGTCATCCCCAGAGGTCCTGAATAGGATATTGGCTTAGGTGCCGGCACTCTAAGGTCAAGGCTGCAAAGATGACTTGCTTAAGACATCTTATATAGGCATGAAACCCAAGATCCTGAACTCCCAACCCTGTGCTCCTTGGTAGTAACAATAACAGGTATTAAGTAGCATTTCAAAAATGGCAGCTTTGGATTAAGCCCTTCAAAGTGTCATCTCAGTTAAACTTCACAATAATTATATTACATTGATACCTTGATTCCCATCTCACAGATGACAACTATCTACTTCCTAGTCACTATGAGGATTAAGTGAGATGAATTAAGCACAGTGCCTGGCCCACAATAGATGAGTTATTGTAACTTATTGAAAAGAGAGTCTTCTTTAATACCTGTAGCAATGTATACTCTCATCAGAAAAGAGTGAGAGTTCCAGATACCCCAGATCTGAGCTGACATTTCTATCAATAATAAAGTGGATAAATAAATTTTGTTGTATTCATTTAGTGGAATACTATACAACAATAAAAGACACAAATCACTGAAACACAAATGAATCTCATATAATGTTGAGCACAAGAAGCTAGGCACATGTATATGAAGTTTACATTTATTTGAAGTTTATGAAGAGGAAAATTGGGCTGGGAATGTGTTTCAGTGGTAGAACACATGTTTAACATGCACAAGCCCTGGGTTCAATTCCCATCACCGTGGGAAAGAGAGAGGAAAGAGAAACAACAACAACAAAAAAGAAAAATTATGGTGACTGGTCATTGGAACAGTAGTTGCTTCTGAAGCAAAGTGATAATAACATGGGGGTGCACACGGGAAACTTCTGGGCACTAAACCTGTTTTATGTTTTCACCTGAGTTGTGGTTACTTCCTAATCACTATGAAGATTAAGTGAGATAATGCAGATGAATTAGTACAGTGAAAAGTAAATGTATTAATACCCACAATGCACTTGCAACAGTATCTGGCACATACTTAAATGCTCAATATGTGTTCATTGCCATTCACATAGGAAGTTGGGGGGCCTTCACTTAGCATCTATGTGACCCAAGCCTGATGATGGTGGAGGAATAAGGACAGAAGTAAGGACTGAATATAAAGGTCATGGAGAAGTAAGAGCATGAGTACTTCAAAGGAGAAGTTCTTCCCAGATAGGATTCCTTAACATGGTGCTTCAGGGACCCAGAAAGCTGCCTGCAGACAATGCAGTCCTAACGATGGGCCTGTATGCACGTTATTGGGCATACTTGCATAACTTTTACCAGCTCTTCAAGGGCATCTTAACAGAAAGTTAAAAGCTCTGCTGCAGAGAAGGCTGAGCATAAAAGGTGAAGACTGTGTCTAATAGTGGGGCTGAGAGGTTTTGCTCTTGGGCAGCCAGGATGAGACAAAGGAAGGGCACCTTGTGAGGCTACACATGGGAAAACTAAAAGAGGGGCCAGTGAGAGCCATCATGTGGGGACCAGGCAGGATAAACAGGATCAGGTTGTCAGAGTAGCTGCAGCCCAGTGCTGGGGAACCCGAGTGTGGGAAAGCCCCAGAGGCTTGGCTCCTGTCCTCCCTCAGCCCAGGAAATCTGTCTGCACAAGCCTGCCAGGCCAGCCAGAGCGAAGGGCCCAAATACGTGCTCTCCCGGGCTTGGTTACTGCTTATATCACGCTCACTGCTGTGTATGGGCTCCAGGGCAGGGAGACTGCAGACCAATGAATGGTTATAGCTCAGGCCTAAATTCCTCTCATACTGGGGAGCAATCTCAGTCAAACTTTCTTTATTCTGAATGCTGTAATCAATAAAAAATGCCAGTGAAAATTAAAATTGGTCTCTAAATTTAGAATTTAATAGAACAACAATGGCAGCTGACATTTATGAATTCTTTGCTAAACTCAGGGTTGCCTGGAACAGAGACTAATTTGAAGACATTTCTAGAAGTAGGGGTGTGTGACCAGGTCAGGGGTATTGGTGGGGCCAGATCTGCAGCAACAAGCTGCTCCCTCAGTATGGGCAAAGGCACAAGAGTGCTTTGTTTTTTGTTCGACCACCATATCCCCAGCTCTAATTTAAATCTCCTCATTTTGGGTTTCTGAAGACAGGCACAGCTGCAAAACAGAGGAGGGGCTTGGAGGGAGAAGGCTCTGGCATCTCCCTTCTGGTCAGGGATCAACATTTTTCTCTAAGCAACACCCTCTGCACTTTGATGGGAGAGGGGGACTTGGCCAATCAGAGCCCCACATTCCTGGCTATATGATTGGTTTAAGCACAGGCATATGGTCCAAGCCAGGCCAATGACAATCCTCAGGAGTTGCTAGGCTGACTGGAAGTGGGCCTGGAGCCATGAGGCCATCTTGCCACATAAGTTGACCTGCTTTAGAGGGAAGTTCTTCCTGGAGAGCAGAGCCAGAGGTGCTGGGAGGCAGGCTTCTGATCTATTGAGGCCCTGTATCCAATCATGCCTAAGACTGGATTACTAGAAACTTTCTGGATACTGGAACCATTGAATTATTTTCATGTACTGATTTATTCAGATGAGATTGGATTTTCTCATAATTTGCAACCAAGAATCCTGGATGTCATGGGTGAGTCAAAAGTTGAGAAACTGTCAAACTTTGTCTAGCCTGGGGAGGCCCATTCGTACTCACCCGTTAGCCTCTTAGTGGCCCCCTAGGCCCCACGTAGGCCCTTGGCTACAAGATCTGTAAAGCCACTGACACATGGTTGTAGGGTTGCCAAGCCTAGGTGTGGGAGTGAACATTAGGTTCCTTGTTTCAATGCCCCAGGAATCCTGACTTCCCTGGAAGCAGCCCTCAGTCACTCATGTGTGTCAGTCACATAGTAATCCACTTTTGAATTGACCTGGCATCCTGAGGAGTACCATGTGGCTTCCCAGCGGTTAAGCACCAGTGGGTCAGGGTGGACCTGCCTGGTCCTGCCCTACAGGGAATTTGAGGAACATTTCATACTAGTTGGGGGCAAATTGAACACTAAACGAGCAGGATTTACCTAAAATACTACTGGGCAGAAGTTTCAA